AAACCCCGCGCTGAGGTGCGGGGCCCGCGGCCGGGAGTCGCCTCCGTGTTATCTGCCTGCAGGGGCAGGGTGCCTTCGGGTCCTGCCGGCTGCCCATCCGTGCCGGTGTCCCGAACGCCGGGGCGTTTTGGTGGCTGTGTTTCGCCTCCTGCAGTGCAGGTCCCTCATCTGACTTTTTAGCAGAAATCAGCTCAGTCAGACAGAAAAGCCGAGTGGGGCCCGATCGTGGCAAAGGATGCAATTTAAACATTTCTAATTTTATGTTTCTTTGGTTTTAGTTGGGGGTGCCAAGGTTTCAGCAGAATCACTTCCAGAAAAGAGGGTGTTTAACTATTCTGAGAAATGTGTAACGGAGTCCTGAAGCTGCTGGTAGAAGTATAACAAACTCCAGTGGGAAACAGAGGAGTTCTGTAGCAATTAGAGCTAATTAGTAACTAGACTGTGGAGAATGGCATATCTTTTAATTTAGACGAGGTGAATTGCAGCATCTCCTCTATAGCCACTAACATACCAGTGGGAACCATTGCATGAAGTTCTGTAGCTTGGTATAGGTGGCTGGACTTTGGGGTTTGATGCAAGATAAACCGTATTCTTTTGTGCCCCATTTCTGAGATTTCCATCTTATATATTTCCTGTTTAAAACGTGCCCAGGTCGTGTCATAAGCAAGCTGCTCTGCTCTGGGGAGAAGGAGGTCGATCTGGCTGTGCAGAGTGCAAAGGCTGCCTTTAAAATATGGAGTCAGATGTCTGGCATGGAGCGGAGCAGGGTGCTGCTGGAGGCTGCCAGAATTATTCGGGTATGTTGTGGGAACTCACCTCCTCTTTTGGAGAGGGGTCGTTCTGTCTGTGAGCTTTCTTGTGGGTTAATGTGGCTGTTGGGGGCCTCCAGGAGGACTTCCAGAGCTCCAGGAAGAGCGCAGGAGTTAAAACCCACCTTTGACCAGAAGAGACAGTAGGTTGCCTTGGGCAGGGCTTCAGTCTTATCACTCTCTTCAAGGCCAGCGTGTACCTTCTCAGCTTAATTCTGTTAGAAAACATAAAACTGAAGGCATCCAGTCAAAATCCTGCAGGGCTCCTACTTCTTTTCACAACTCCAAACCTTAAGCTTCAGGGCATGTGATTTAGAAGCTGAAATTGCATAACTAACATTGTTAAACTTTCAGCTTGTCAGACAATGTTGTCACGTGACTGAAGTGTGTCTTGTTTTAGCAATAAAAAATGTAGGAATGCTGGTTTTTATCTTAGACATCAGATAATACACATGGGAAAGAGAGGATACAAGTAAGCTAGCTTTATCACAAACTGCTTTGTGAGATAAGATGTTCTTGGACATTGAAGTTAATTCCCATTGAGGCACATATCTGTAAGAAACCAGACCTATTTTCACCGATGTGTGTATATGATGAGAAAATTGGGTTTTTTTCTTCCAGATTTCTGCTTTTGACAGACTTCCATAGCAGGGTAATATTTCTGCTGGGAGATGGTCTGTTAAGGGGTGCTTCCCAGCTGTGTTACTTTGTCCGTCCTTCACTAAGTCCTCTGGATCCATTCTGAACTTGCTGTTTGCTGTTCCTCACGCTTTAGTTCTGTGAATCTTAATCATTGTTAGCCAGCTGGTTTCGAAGTTCATGTTTGCTCATCTTTTAGATAAACAGGGATGTTAAGCAAGACTGGACTAGTAGTGAAACCCAGCAGCTGTCTGTTTGACATTCCCCTGTGATCGGTCGCCACTGGGGAACTGATAAATAGCAGTTGGGACTGTACCTTTTAGACGTGACAATTTCTCATGGCAGAGGCTGGCTTACTGATAGCAGAGCCTTGTTTGGGAGTTGCATGCTTGAGCAGCGTCTGTCTACTACAGGCTTCTCTAACCTGTTGTCACTGTCCTGTGCCTCTCGCAGGAGCAGAGAGAAGAAATTGCCACCTTGGAAACCATCAACAATGGGAAATCCATCTTTGAAGCCAGAGTGGACATCGACATATCCTGGCAGTGCCTGGAGTATTACGCAGGACTGGCAGGATCTCTAGCTGGTGAGAACATCACCGGAGTTTGCTTTTTACTCTGTCCTGCTGGTTGTCTTCCCTGGTAATTTTTATGGCACAAGACCACCTTTGCTGTTTATTTTTCTAAAAGATCGACCACTCCTTTTTCTGAAGATCTTGGAAGGATTTTCAGAGATCTCTACCTAGTGCTGCCATGCTCTGTGGGCACTTACGCACCTTCTGTGAGCTTGCTGGGGTAAAAGCTGTGTGTCTCTTGTTCCAAGAGACAAGCAAGATCTGGCCCCTGAGGCTCTGGTAAGACTGGAAGGGGCTTTGCTCTTCTCTACCTTCTGGCTGTTTTTCTTCTTTGCAGGTGAACACATCCAACTTCCGGGGGGATCCTTTGGGTACACTCGGAGAGAGCCCCTTGGGGTGTGTGTTGGGATTGGAGCCTGGAATTACCCTTTCCAGATTGCCTGCTGGAAGGCTGCCCCAGCCTTGGCTTGCGGTAATGGAGACACTCTGCCTGTGCAAGCTTCTCTTTGAAGCCAAACGATCCTGTGGGGGAGAGCAATTTGGGGGATGAAGTCTAGGATTACCCTAAAGGAGGTGTTGAAAGATTAGCAGAACCTTCAGCCTGTTACTCTGGCAGAAAGGGAAAGGGAAGGGAAGTGGGGACATGGTAGGTGCTAAGAGGGCAGGAGTGCATCAGGCAAAAGGCAGATCACCTGGCTTTGTACCAGACAAGGACGATCTCTGGAAATGTCTGCAGTGTAGGACCAGCAGCGCCATCTCCCCCAGCCCTTCCCAGCAGGAAGGTGGAATTCCTCCCTTTCACTGGTGCAGTGTTGAGCTGAAACAGTTTCCTCCTCTCTTGAGGGGATCATCTGGGATCTGTTGAGATAAACTCATTGTGTGGGGTGGTTTGTTTGTTTGTTCTTCTTTTCCCTAAAGCAGTTTGGCTGTTAACCCCACCTTGCCTCTGTCTGGGTTCCCATAGGCAATGCGATGGTCTTCAAGCCCTCTCCCTTCACCCCCATTTCAGTGGTGAGGTTGGCAGAGATCTTCACAGAGGCCGGTGTGCCCAAGGGGCTCTTCAATGTGGTGCAGGGTGGAGTGGCCACAGGCCAGTTCCTCTGTCATCACCCAGATGTGGCCAAAATCTCTTTCACTGGCAGTGTGCCAACTGGCATCAAGGTAAAGGCACCTTTTCACTCAGGGACACAAGGGATCTGTAGTGCCACCATTCCCAGTGCACTGTGGATGTCTATACCTCCTTGAACTTTTGTGCGTGGGGCTTGTAAAGATGGGGTGCAAGTTGGCATTTTGGGGTCTGAGCAAGGAGATTACATGTCCAGGGTTACATTGGGGCTCCAGTTAGCCAACTGGGCATGGGCTTGGGCACTCGGTCCTTTCAGAGGAGTCCTTTGGTCATTGCTTGTTTAGCCCTTGATTGCAGTAAAGTCTCTGAGCTGCGAACATGGGTATCTATGTGGGGAGGTGGGTACATAAAACAGAGCAGCACTAGGAAAACGTGTGAGTGTTTCTGGCAGTAATAGTTCAGTTTAGCTGCATACAACCTACTGTTTCTAAGCAAGAGGTTAGTTTCTGTGAATTTCTTACCCTGAATTTATTCTTAAAAAAAATTAAAAGTTCCTAAAAATACTTCTAAAAATAAATTCTGATTTGAAAGAGGGGAGAAGTTGCCCCTTGAATTCTCCTTACATGTGTGTGCCTGTGTGACACAGATGCAGTTACAGCTGTCCTCTGGGCTTACCGTGAGCATGAGAATTCCTGCAAATGATTCCTCAGGTTTTCTTGCTTTTATCTTAAAAAAAAACAAACAAACAACAAAACAAAACCAAACAAACCCTAAACCCTCTGAGACTGTCCCTAGCCTGAACTAAACACATCAGGAAACCCAGCTTGCCCTTCCTGCTGCATTTGTCCTTCCCAGAACCAGGACAGAGTTGTTGGTGAAGTGCCCTGCAGGAACTCTCCCCTTGGGTGTCTCTTACCTCCCTCCACCAGCTTGCCCTTTGCCAGTGGGTCACTTGTCTCTTCTGTCCTTGTTTCCATCAGATCATGGAGATGGCAGCTAAAGGGATCAAACCAGTTACCCTGGAGCTGGGGGGCAAATCCCCGCTTATCATCTTTTCGGACTGTGCCTTGGAGAACGCCGTGAACGGAGCCCTCATGGCCAACTTCCTTACACAGGGCGAGGTGTGTGCCCGTGGGGCTGGAGCAGTCATGCTCTCTGTGGCGGGGTGGTTTGAGAACCAGGTGGCAGAGCCAGACTGTGACCTTTCATGATGAGGGATGTCCTGAAGCTCACATCTGGCCACCTATTTCCCTATGTAGTGTCACAAGGGATCAGAAGGGATGCTCTTGCAGAAGCCAGTGCAGGGCTTCACAGGAAAGCATGCTTTAGCCGATGCCCTGTTCTTCCCAGAAGTGGAGCCCCTTTAGCACCTGGTACCCAGCTCAAAGCAGCTGCTTTTGTGCCCTGGGCTCCAGTCTGGTGCACAGAGGTCAGAAGAAGTTGTGCTGGTTTCCTCTGGAAGGGCAGCAGGTTCCAGTCTGGTGTACTGAGCCACAGCCCTCTGGAGCTCTGTCCGTCCCAAATTTGGGATCTCCACATGTGCTGCAGGTTTTGTGTAATCCTGCTGGCAAATTGGCTTACCGGGGTCATCTCTAGGAACATCTCAAGTTCTCTTCTGCTTGTGACTTGATGCGTTTTTGCCACCTGGTGGCATCAGTACCACTGTGTTCAGCATGGACTGTTCAGTGCAGTCAGGAGCAGCAGGGTAATCTCATCATCTTTGTCCCCAGGGACAAGTTAGCTGTTTTAGCAGCTGTGGAGAATTTTTTTCTGAGAGCCTCTGTAGCAGGACCCAAGCAGGGAATGGCTTCGGAGTGCTCTGTGTCTTACTCTGAGCAGCCTGTCCTGTATCCCAGGTATGCTGCAATGGTACACGGGTGTTTGTGGAGAGGAAGATACTGGATGTCTTCACAAAGGAGGTGGTGAAACGCACTCAGAAAATCAAGGTTGGAGACCCACTTCTGGAAGATACAAGAATGGGAGCTCTCATCAATCGGCCCCACCTGGATCGTGTCCAGGGCTTTATCAAGCAGGCAAAGGAGCAGGTGAGATTGTGATGCTGCCTCATGACTGCCCTGAAATGTCTCTCTCTCTTGTTAGGCAAGCAGACAGGCAGCTGCTTTCCTGCCCCATGCCTTCTCGGTTAAGCTGTTTTTTTTGTTGTGGTTGAATTACTCAATAGGTGTCTTGGGCCACTAGATTAAAAGTGACCCACTGCATGTCTCTGAATCAGCATTGGAGGTGACGGGGCTTTTCATATCCTGATGTTGCCAAGTTTTAGAGGTTGTGAGATACCCAGCATGGTAGTGTGTAGAATGGGATAATCTGTAATGTTTGGGCTGGTTTTAAGTTGTGGTGACACCTTGCATGCTTGGCTGTTACCTCATTTGGGTTCCAGTTTTATTGGTTGCAGAAGGAGCTTACTAAGGATCAAAGGCCAAATTTACAGCCTGCTGTAAGAGCAATAAGATCTACCCAGGCTTTTTTTTTTGTTTTTTTTTTTTTGCCAGGTTTTATAATAAAGTCTAAAGGTGTTTTAAGTGTCAGCACTAGGTATATGACTAGGTGTAGCCAATTTGGGGATGTGCTGGAGAAGAGGAACTGTGAGTGAAAGCCAGGAGGGCTAGATGAGGATTTGGAAACAGGAAGAATGATGTAGGGAAGGAGGGGAGAAATCCCCATCTCTACAGTGGGGCATTTGATGGAGGTAGGTGTTTCTTCCCTGGTGGAGTGGTAAGGTTGACTTGCAAATGAGGGAATTCACACCATGTGAAGATATGGAAGTTAATGTAATGCCAGCTGAGGATCTGCTCCTAGTTGTGGTTGCTTCCCTCCAAACTGCACTGGCTCCTGTGGCACTTGCACCCCAAACTAGCATTGTTTTGACTTTTAGGATGGGTCTCACTCCCTGACTCTGATCTATCAGTGAGTGGTTCTGACCTGGAGAGGGACCAGGGTAGGCCCAGGCACAGCTTGTCTGACAGGACTGTAAACCCATCAGGGAGTACTGGCTGATGCCCAGACCTGTGGCAGCTGGGCAGGATGCCCCAGGACATGTCTGTCTACCTTCTGCTTGGCTCTTTTTCAGGGGGCAGTGGTGCTGTGTGGTGGGGACCTGTATGTGCCAGATGACCCGAAGCTGAAGAATGGTTACTACATGCGACCATGTGTGCTAGGTATGATCCCTCCTATTTATGGTACTGCAGTCTTCTACGTGGATGTTGCTGAGTTTCTTTTAGAGAAAGCTGTGTTCAGCATAACCTGTCTCTGCACATCCACAGTGTGGACAGGCACTGGTATGGGTGTATTAGAGAGAGCTGAGGCACCTAGGAACTGCATCCAGAGAAATCTCTGCTGTTGGAGGGTCTGACAGGACACATGCAGTTAGTGCCTTTGCTGCCTTGAGGTGGAGGGTGGGATTTGTTCCTCTGCTAGCCAAGCCGAGGGGGCTGTGCAGTGCTGAGTGCTGTCTTGAAGGCTGTGTGCGTTGCTGAATGCACAGGCAGTCCTGCTAACTCTTCCTCCTGAAGCACATGTACTCTGCTCTGCGTCCAGGGAACTGCACAGATGACATGACATGTGTGAAGGAAGAGATCTTTGGGCCTGTCATGTCCATTCTGCCGTTTGACACAGAGGAGGAGGTTGTAGAGAGAGCCAACAACACCAAATTCGGCCTGGCAGGTGGTGTCTTCACCAGGTATGACTGGGTAGCGTGGTTGGTGTGGAAGCGGCCTGGGGGAGGGGAGGAAAAGGGAATTACTGCAACAACTCAGTGCTCCGCCTACGGTGCCTGGCATGGGCATAAATATCCTCTTCCAGAAGAGCCTGGAGTAAGGGGTTGCCAAAAGGGAACTTGGATGACTGCACATCTCCTCCTAGGTTTTCCTGAGGGGTTAGGTGGGCCCAGCTGTCCTTCAGACTCCTTCCAGCCTGTGCTTGGCATGCTGCCTGCCTTCCTGCATCTCCAGGAGATGTGCGCCAGGAGCCTGCCATACTGCTGCAAGCATGCAAAGATGGCTCTTGGCCGCTTGCCGCAGGCTGCTTTGCTGGTGTCCTTGTCCTGCCCTCTCAAATCAAATGCAGTTTTGAGTGTCCTTGGGAATAGGTGATACATCCTTTGAGCAGGCAGAGACAGCATAGGGCAAGTCAGGCTCCAAAAACCACTGCGACCTGCTCACCTTTCTCTAGTGGGATGTCAGCTGGCAGGGAAGGGGGGTGTGAATGAGAAGGGATCCAGCTGAATTGCCTTTTTCCTGCAGGGATATCCAGAAGGCTCACAGGGTAGTGGCTGCTCTCAAGGCTGGGATGTGCTTCATTAACAACTACAACATCAGCCCTGTGGAGCTGCCTTTTGGAGGATACAAGTCATCAGGTGAGCTCTGTTTGGCCTTCCCTGGGCTCAGCCCTCCTGCACACAGGTGATGAACCTATTTCTGTGATGGCAGATGTGAGTGTTCTCTTGCCGGGGCAGCGGAGCACTTTGTCATGCCTCTAAGAAGCGAATGCCACACTGGGAGCTGAAAGGGAAGCTGGGGAATGGATTGCAACTTTGTACTGAGAAAGCAAGGAGGCGAGCTTTAATATACATGGCCTTGCTTGCAGCTGAGTTCATCCAGTTATTACTCTGGGCTTGATCAGAATTGCTACCGTGAGGTGGCACTTGACCTGAGTGTGTGGCTTGTGTTCTCCCTGGTATGACTACACGCTGGTTACAAGGGGTATGAGTGGTGCCTGGCACTGCCTGGAGCTGTGTTCTCACTTCTGGCTTGTCCCTGCAGGATTTGGCAGAGAGAACGGGCGGGCAGCCATCGAATACTACTCACAGCTGAAGACTGTCTGCGTGGAGATGGGTGATGTGGAATCTGTGTTTTAGTGGCTCTCGGGCCTGCTCAAAGGAGCATCAGCCAGTTCTTGCCTGTCAGCCAGAGATGTGGATCATTTACCCAGCAATAAAGTGCTCTAAAATTGTAAGTGCCCGGGGGGGACAACAGTGCTGGAGCAGCATTTAGCCACCGTGCTCCTGCCAAGGGGGAATGTACACACAGGGCTCAGCCTGTGGGCCTGCTCTGTCCTGTTGGGTGGAAGATGGGAACCTCAAAGTAGGAGGCAGCAATATGGCTTTCAGCAGCAGCTTGTGTAGCCATGTAGGTGTTACCAGAGGCTTGTCAGTGGCAGAGGCCTGGCCCAGGCTGCATCCCCTGCTGCATGCATTGAACCCCATTGCCTTCCACCCTCAGTCAACTAAAGTTTTGGCTCCTTAACAGGTATGACCCTACTCCGTGCACATATAAGCTTTTAGACACATTGATATCTTGTAGCTATAGGCTCTATCTATTCTCTGACTACATAAAAGCCTTAAGGGTAGGATTGTTTATTCCCTGTAGACCTCTTGTAAACACAAGGTTTGTTTTTTCTATCTGTACCTCACTTCCAAGGTGGGACAAAGTATTGTGGGGATGGTGAGCTGATGCTGGCTGGGGCAGGCATGGCCCTGATAATCATCTCCACACACAGAGTATGGAGCACAACCAGAGTGGTAGCAAGGTCCAGCACAGGATAGTGTGCTGCCTCTCGTAAGCAAAAGCTATTTGACTTCCTTCCTATAGGCCTACTATCCTTTATAAACATGATGAAGCAACAACTTAACAACTTGTTTGCCTACATCCTTTTTTTAGCAATCAAATAAATATTAACTCTCTTTGAAATATCTTACTGCAGAGTGACATAAATTGAGGGGTCCAGAAATAAGGTGGCTGCTGTGTGAGTTAAATGGGTTGCAAGAAGGCTTTTTGGTCACTAAAATCCTAAGAGCTAGGACATCTCTGCCTGATGGGCAAATTTCTGTAGTCCTTACAAAACCAGAGTTGTTCTAGCATTCTGCAAAACTTAAGAAAACCCTCTATAACTTCAGAATGAAAATACAGAACCAATAACTTCATTTTATTGAGTGAAGAGAAAAGAAAAAAACAGGAAATGAAAAATTCTGAAAGAAAACAAAAATCCCTTTAGTTTCCCAGACAGCCATCATGATGGTCAGCTAGTCCTGGCAGATCCAGCCGAGGTGCTGGCAAGCTGAATACACGCCTGTGCCCACCAGCCCAATGAGCGCAATTGAACCAATGGCCCCTCTCCTTCGGTTTTTTGGATCTGGAAAAAAACACGTTTTGTCAGTTCAGCAGCCCATCACTGAAAGATTAGCCTGTCCTGAAAATTAAAGAGGGAGAAGGAACCAGAGATAAATCTCAAGGGAAAACAGCAGGCACCAGCTCGGGCCATGTACCTACCCTCAGTCTATGCTATTATTAGATTATTATTAGACTTCCTATCAGTAGGAAGAGCATACTGCAGAGTTAGCAGCCTGTGGACCTGCACCCTTTTTTCTCCACACCCTGACTCGAAGCTTTATGCTGCCTCCTTGATGTGAGCTGGACAAAAGAGACCTGAGGCCACTGCAGGAGACTTGAGTTTCCAAGCACCTTCTGTGCTGCAGGGTAAAGACCTACCTCCTGTGTAGTAGCCGTAGGCATAAAGGATTCTCCCAAGGATCCAGGTGACGCCAAGCCCTGTGGCAGTCCGCTAGAGAGAAAGGAGAAGCATTAAAGGTTTTTGAGACTTGCCACTTGCATGTGCTTAGCTCTTACAGCAGCCCTGCTTCAAAGAAGTGGCCGCCGACTACAGTGTGGGTCCTGACCTTGCTAGGACAACTGGGAGTCAGCCTGGTGGAGTTGGCCCCATGACGCCTATGGGGAGGCAGTGTGTAATGTGCTGCAGAGCCTTGCTGGTTTGCAGCACAGCTCTTCCCAAGCAACAAATGGTTAAGTCAGACAGGCAGCAGGTGCTGAATCTCATTTCACCACTGTCCAATTAGTGAGCTAGATCATGTGCCTTGATCTTGGAGGCTGCTGTTGCCCCAAGCCCCACTCCCCTGCCTCCAGCTGGTGTACAGGGTCTCCTGTTGCAGGTGTTACAAACTTCCACCTTGCCTCTTAATTTAGAGCTTGCTGCAATGCGCCTCCAGTTTGCCAGATTTGCCTATGCTGCTTCCTTCCCTCTGAAAAGGAATATTCAAGAAGGACCTCATTTGTCTGCTGGTAGCAAAGAAAGAGCTACTGTTTCTGGCCTCTCCCACATGCCTGCCTCCTCATGATTTGTCTACATCTTTCAGTTAAAAATAATCCAGGGTTTTTTTTTTTGGTCCTTTGCATGCCCTTGGAGGTGGAAGTGAGTGGGAAGATCACCATGTTCCCCATTTATTCCTACAGATTAAGCACACTTTCATGAAGAGTTTGAAGCGGGGAAAAGGGTTCCTGTCCTCCATGCAACCAGCTGCTGAGTAGCACTGCTGTAAGCCCAGCAGGACCCTGCAGGGCTAGGAAGAACCAGGCAGGGTTGGAGGGACCCTTCCCACTCAGGGACCGGAGGCTGGGAGTGCTTTGGTTTGTCCAACGGCACCCTTAGGGGAAGGAAAGGGCTCCAAAGCTGAAGCAGCAGTAATGAGTTTGTTAAATACTTGTGGTTCCCCTACACAAGACCTTCTACAACTGCATCTTCAGAAGGGGCGCAGCTGTGATGTGTGATGTGGCTAGTGAAGCAGCCTGCTGCCTCCAGAGGGGCTACCTTGGCCTACTGACACCCCCCCCGCCCCTAGGGCAGGCAGCAAGAGCAGAGTGCAGTCTTGCAGACCTACACCATAGTGTCACTTACCGGGTGGTAGACTCCACCGGTGGCTAAGAAGAACAGGAAGGCAGGGTACACTTCCAATCTGAAAAGAAAAGCGAGGAGGTTGTGTTTGTGCTCAAGTTGCTTACAAAGAGGAAACTCTACAAATGCAGAAGCTGCGACCATCCCCTTCCAAGGTCTCTGTGCTCGATGCTAGGGCCACAGATAGAGGAAAGAAGGAATCTGACCATTTTGTGCCCTAAGCCACTGCTACATAATACTTATCACCACCTAATCCAGGAGTTATTCCTCCCAGCACTCCCACCACTGATGTGCTGTTGCAGCCTGGTCCACAGTGGCTGGGTGGCCTTAGGCCTCTCCCCAGGGAGAGCCGGGCAGCACAACAGATCAGCAGCCCCCAGACAGGATCTTCTGGAAACAAGAGTTCTAACATCTTAAGATCCACTCTTGGAAGCAAAGAGCTGGGCACTGGGGAAGAGGAGGCTGCTTCACAGCCCTGTCTCATGGTTTAAGGCACGGTAAAGAGCCAGCACAGCCTTACTACTAAGCGTTACATGGCCATATGCAAGCTTTAAGCCTGAACCCAAGAACCTGGCAGCAGTAAGTCTCCAGCTGTAGGCCCTGCTCCACAGTCCTGTGTGTTTTCAAGGTCTGCATTCATACATGGTACTCACGTGTTCTGGTGTGCACGCTGGATGCAGTTGAATATACGCCCATGTTCAGGGTCCGTGCTGTACATGGTTGGATACTGCCAAAAAAAAACAACCCAGCAGCAAAACATAAGAAAGCGCAGCCTGGGCTCTGGAGCCTGGTGTTCTCCAGCAGCAAGCAACATGCCCTGCAGCACCTCTCTGCAGGGAGCCCAGTGTTGCACAAGTGCTTTTGAGACTGACTTGCATTGGCAAGTTAGAGCCTGTCTCCTGCCCTGTGGCCAATAAATGCTTTGTTGAAACTGCTGCTTGCCCCAGGCTGGTTCCTGAACTCCCTCAGCAACCATGGAGGTGGCCCTGCTTTGAACAGAAGACAGACAGCTACTGGGTGACCTCCTTGTTTAAATCCCATCTCTCCGGAGGGGAGAGAAAAGCAGCATTAGTGGGGACGTGCCCCCATGTCTCCTCTGGGGCAGCAGACATCACCCAGAAGAGGCTGGAAGAACGCTGCCATCCTCAGCGCTGAAGAGCTGAGCAATCAGCTGGAGGTGCCACTTGGCTGCAGAGGCTTTTCCCAGCATGAAATCCAGTGCTCTGCACACCATACGCGCTGGGCACGTTTGTTATAATCCTGACTTCATGCAGTAGAAGTCAGGTCAACCCAAGAGGCACCACCCAACGCCTGCAGCACATGCCTGGGGCTGTCCCTGCTCCCACCCCTTCTTGCCACTTCACCGAGTGACCTGGGGAAAAGAGCAAAGGAGTGTTTGCACTTGGGAGCCAAGTGGCACAGCAGCCTCCGCATGCCATCGCCCTGACTCAGGGATAGGATCAGCCGGACGTCCCCACCCAGCCCACAGCCCTGCCTGGCTTGCAGCCTCCTTGATGGATGCTGAGGGAATGTCACTTTGAGAGACTGCTTGTGATAGGGCTCGCGTGCTCCCTCTGAGCTTGAGACACCCTCCTGTCACTTTTGTTCCTCCACCAGCCTTTGCCCCCAGTGCTGCATTGGCCGCCTTTACAGGGGAAAAAGGGCTGTGTGGTTTCTTGCCCATCAGTGTTTCCAAGCTCAAAGCCTTGTGCTTTCTGCTGTCTCAGCTCGGTGCCAAATGCCTGATGTGCCAAACCCCAAGCTCTGTTGTGCCGTCTGCTCCAGTCTGGAGCGCCAGAATGGCAGCTCCATCCCTTATGCATCCGTTTGGTGGGGCAGGAGACGTCAGCAAGTCACCCAAAAATAAGCAAGGCGTTACCCAGCTTGTCTGCAATATCCCCTGCAGAGCAGCTCTGACCTTCCCGTTCCTTCGGCCTGAGGACTCACCTCCACGTTGTACTTCTTGCGGGCCTTGGCCACTTTCACTGCGAGGTGTGTGACCAAGACAAAGCTGGCAGCCCCGGTCAGGATGACGTAGCCATACTCCTTAGAGAGAACAGCCATCTTGGTGCTGCCACAGAAAGAGAGCCCGTTACTATTTTGTGGTGTGACTGAAGAAGCGGCAGCTCACTACACACAGGTATGTGTGTGTGGAAGAGTTACTGGGCATGAACCCAAGCCCTCCTAGCACAGGGAGTGGCTGAAGGAAGGGAGAAAGGGCGAGTTGAGGAATTTTCACCTCTTGGTGCCTGCTGGGTATTGAGCAGCACAAACTGAGGGCTCTCCGCTCAGTTCCTGTCAAAGAAGCCTTAAATCACTTAAGTGTTGGTTGGAGGTGGCGTCTGGAGGACCCTAATCCAGCCCCCAGCTCCGAGCAGGACTACAGCCAACAGGACTACAGTAGGTCCCATCAGCCCTGGCTGGCTAAGTCCCATCA